GCCGGCGACGAATAGCAAGCCTGCACGCGTGAACGCTTGCTCTCTGGGCCGCAGGGATTTTCATGCAACTATGCCGCACTTCGGATCACGCCGCTCCCACGGAAGGTCGTGCTCTCCGTAGTTAAACTCTTTCCATCTATTCTTCGTTCCTCTATGTACACAATATACTGTTTCTAACACTCTGGCCTTCCTAAGACTTCTATTCTCTACTAATTAACCATGGTCTGAAGATTGCAGTTGCTCGTATTTAAATCACTTAACTCTCTGCGATATATCCACTAAACTTAAGACCTGGAGCACAGTTTAATTTAGGATAAGGGGTTCAATTGACGGGAACATTCAAGATTTTGATCAACTTGCTCTGAAGACAACGGGCCCACCACCACCACAGCATAAAAGCCAGTACTAAATGCGTAAATAACGCCAGAAAGAAAGTCCACTGCCAAGATAATATACCTTTTAGGGTCTCGCAGTTGGCTTTCAGCTGTAAAAACTCGGCTGTCTTGTTTTCAAGCTCCTGCCGCACTTCAGCCAGGCTGGCGGTCAGGTGAATCACATAATCATCAGTCTCTGCTGTCGGCACTTTCTGTTTCTACAAGAAACAAGGAGACCAGCCCGCGTTTACACATATTTTACATCGAGGGAAGGGGCTAGTGAGAAAGCGTGCTCCCCTAGTTACGTTTCGAGCTGGCGAATTGGGCATGAACACGCGCCCATTTTATTACTATAAGTTGCCTACTTATTGATTTAAGTACACACATTTTGTTAGAATTGTTTTTATGACTGAGCCAAACGATATGTTAAAGATACAGCTAATCAAATAGGGCTAGGTAAAGAGCTAGTATTAGGGTTAGGGTTAAGGTTAGTGCTAAGATCAATTTTGCCTGTCACAGACTCTGCTACCCACTCCAATCTTCTCTAACCGATAACCTTGGATTTCCTCTTTTCCGCCTGTTTACACGCTCCTTCTTTGCACATTTCGTATTGTGTGTCCGTTCCGACACCCCATTGGAGTAATAAAACAAACTTATGCTAGAAATACGAGTGTTTTCAATGCCTCCTACAGGCTTTGTTAACCATCTTGCCCATCTGCCCTACTGATAAAGCTACTGCTATCATCCTTATCGTTTTACAGGAATCCCTATGCTCTGTTTTCTCAGGTATGCCATCTCATGAAATGTCAAACGAACTTTTGAAATGTGTGTTTGATTAAAAATGATTGGTTAAGAAAGGTTATAATATTAGTTAGCGTACAGCAAATAAAGAATAATTCAACCATGCCGGTTTTTGACCACCTTCCTTCGGGCCGACTGCAAAACCTTAAGTGTGTAAAAAATGTGGCTACCTACGTAGTAGTATTTTTCCATGGATTCAGTTGGTGGAACAGTACGTTTTCTTCAAAATTACTAATTAAAAAACGGGTAGGTTGGATTTCAACAAAAACTTTCGAATTTCCTGAGGAAGTTTTAACCCAATTCGAGGCTACATCTAACGTTTCTGCGCTTTAAGCTGTAAATTTTCATAGTAACCAAAATTTTACGCTTTATACACTCTTGAGAGGAGGTAACTAGGGTTCGTAAACGTTTGTAATGGACGTGGACCATACCGTATATTCTACAAACATCATCAATACATGAGTAGTCTTATAAGATCTGTCAATTAGAAACTTTTTAAAAGCTAAAAAAGTACCCTTTTTCAACTATAACATTTGAAGGAGGTGTAAGCTACTACCGAAAACGTATTAGGAAGAATAGTTTTGATAAAAGTATTCCATAGAAGATATTAAAGTTTATTGTGGTGATGAAAAGCAATCGATCAAGTCTTGCTACTTAAGTCGGATCGAAGCTTGTTTGAAAGCCGGTATCCCGACTTGATTGAAATATTTTGCATTTTTGCTGTACAATCACGACTATTATAACGCAAATTAGCAAATCTGTCTAGTCGAAAACACGTTTCAGAATTTAGGTTGCAATTTCATGAGACAGCGTGTCTGTAGCTCCTTCGACCTCCGGCACCAGGCCGCACAAGAGTTCACGTGAGTTCAGTTCTAGGCCTGCCGCCAGGACAACCAACTACAGATGTGGTAGACTGCTATTGGCCAAGCAGTTGATCAAGCGGTCAGTGAATCACTCTCGCATGACGTTTGCGCATCCACGCCCACACTACCCTAGCAGATAGACGCGCGTGCAGGGTCCGGGCCTGCCGCACGTCGGGGCTTCGGACCACTATTGAGTTTTGTACAAAATAACCAACTCCTACTGGTCTTATCTCTTCTCCTCCTA